TTTATATGTATGTATATATATATATATATATATATATATGTATATATATACATAAAGTATATATATTATATATATAATATCCATAAATATATACATATAAATATATACACATTTTTTCATATACAGTACACACACACACACACATAGATTTTCAGGTAGTGCTGAGAAAATCATCATCACCTTTATGTAAATGTCATTCACTGTCCACGTTTTGACAGGAAGCACAAATGTCCACAAAACACAGATCTGCATTTGGCAAAAACAGTTTATAAACCGATTAGGTTTTAAGGCAGGAATGTTAACAGTGAGGAATGTCCCGTGTTCTCCTCCCTGTCCAGGCAACATGAAGTGATGCTGGTGGAATGTGACTGGAAGTGGCTGGCACTGAAACAACTCGAGTTAAAACAAAGGCAACACCAGCTCAAAATAAACTGAAAAAAGTGACCGTTTGTGTAGAAACAGGGCACGCATGAGCAACAGATAAATGTTGAACCCATTTTTCAATTAGGCAAATGCATTTCCCTATTAAGACATTTTTACAAAGTCATATCTGAAAACAGTGTCTCCCAAATTTAGTGACTCACCACTGCTGCGGTTCTTTTTAAATAAAAAATATATAAAATGATTTCAGCTGGAATCGAGGCTGCCCTCTAGTGAACATAACATCTAGTAAAGTGTAACGGCTGAAGAAATGTACAAACGTACGGTGTTTCCATTAGGAGTCCACAAACATCGGTGCACAACACTAACAGATTAACTTAATAGTGTTCAGTCTGAGAGGAAACTAAACCTGCATAGCTTTTGTCATTGCATTTTTCCTTAGGTCCCAATAAAGTCCACACAGAGTGCAAAGACAACGCTGCTCTCAGGAACTAGACTCAACAGCAACAAGAGACTAAGGCCGACAGTCTGAAAACGCACGTTTAACAGTTTAGAGGCAACATCAGCTTCACGTCGAGCAGTTTTAGCACTTTAGAGGATGTTGATAATATCAGAGGCAAACCTGTGAACAAAGTGAATACAAAAGTAGTCCAGCACAAGTGTAATAATAATAATAATAATAATAATAAGGATGCTGGCCAGTCAAGAGACTTTGGCAAGGCTGGTTGGTTGCTGACTGTAGCATGCTGGTGCGTCATCCTCACACACACTCACACTCTCTCATGCACAGCTTCAGAGCTACAGGTATGTATCCTGGTCTGTGCTGCTAAGGCTTTGTGAGGATCTCTGGAGACCAGATATTTGTGCAGCAGGGATGTCTGTAGGAGGCACTTCCTGCTGATGAGGTGAGTCTGTGTCAGCTGGATTTGAAGGTGGTGGAGAAGGAGAGGGAGGAGGACGAGGGTCAGTGGGGAGAGGGTACGGGTTAGGGATCTCCTTGATGGGCATGGATTTCCTCACGCTCTTCTTCTTGCTCTTCCTCTCCTCCTTGTTCTTCTTCAGCTGCTGTGGAGGCTGCGTCTCCTCGATCACGATCGTGGGGTTCTGCTGCAGGTCCTGGCGCCGCGGGGGCTCGGCCAACATGACGAGGCGAGCGCCGTGCATCCTCGGCGGCGGTCTGAAGTTCAGCTCTCCGCGGTTCTTCCTCCAGCGTTTGAGCTGGGAGTGGTGCTCTCTCTCTACGTCTCGCGCTGTGACTGGGATTTCAAGAATCTGCGAAAGGAAAGAAGAAGAAAAAACACGACACAACATCAAGTCACAGACGACCCCAGAGAGTCCATGATCAAAAGGCATGGTGAAGAAACGAGAACAGCCATTGACGGGAAGTCATTTCTTCAGTTTTGAGCCTTTTGTGACCAAACGGTGAACTTTGTGAGTAAATGTCAAAGGGTGGTGAGCTGCTGAGGATGCACAGACACTCTCAGACAAGACAGGGCTACATATCAGAGGGAGTATTGTTAGAGGAGACAAAGACACTACACAGCCTGCTCTGCTTCAGTCTCTGTTCTCTCAGTTGTATTCACTCTCAGACCCTCTGCTCTTGTCCATGAACACTTACTGTACCCCCCCCCTTCAAAAACACAGTGAAACATACACTCTGCAGTACTACAGGAGTTTTCTGATCCATCACGTTTGAAACAAGCAGTAACATCCACATTTCACTGATCTAAATTTATAACACCAAGTACTGAGTATTACTAAGCAACAGCAGTAGCAGCAGCACTAGAAACTAGTACAAGTACTGAGGAACGTGGATCACTAATAGACACAGGACATCCACACTCAACACAAAGGAATGTGGAGCATCTCCACAGATTTACATAGAGCACACCGTGTAGCTGCTGGACGATCGAGTGTTAAGTTGTGGATATTGTCCCTAATTTTCCCAAATCATGCAAACTTTTGTTGTGCAAAACTTTAGATTATATTTTCGGCTGGATCATTTAAAGTCCACCAGTGTGAGCTCTACACCCCCCCCCCCCCCCCAGAAACTCTGCATGAATGATTGACTGTTGTTTAACTAAGCATCTTTTTGTGCACCGGTTGCTCCAACTCTTTTTGACAAGACTTTGATCTTTTGAGATGTGTTTCCTAAACCAAGTACCCAGAGCCTTGTAGCAGGCAGGTTAACAAGTTTATAATTTATAACCAACAACAATAATGTCAATACAAATTATTCCTCTCTATAAGAGAGTGCTGTTTAATCTGTTCAAAGGCTTTTTTAATTTTCTCAACTTTTGTAGAAACACCAAGTTTTACTTGGGTTTCTCTAAGGTCCAAAAGTGTATGTTTTATAATCTGACAGAGCCACAACCCCTCTCTTTTACTGTACATTAACCTGAGGTCATGCACTGTGAACATGAAGCATATTGTAAAATACCATAAACACCCTGGTGACTGCATAGTTGAGATACATTTCTACAGGACACTGGTGTCAAATTTCTCCACATGTATTCGTTTGGCGTTTGCCCAGAATTTGTTAACTGGTTAAGGTTAACCAGGATAAGCTGTTTATTATAGCAGTTTTTTTAAGATATGCTGTGCATGAAACATGGACTTTCTGATCCAGCCCAAAGCAACGCTTTGAACTTCAAGCTATGAACCTTCAAGATGGAAATCAACAGAAGAGCTAAGGTAAAAAGAGGCCAGAAGAAGACTTGTGGCTGAGGTCATGTCATAAACATCTGTCTTATTTGATGCACATAAATGGAGAATTTCCCCTGACCTTTTTTGAAAATTGACCATTGAGCCCTGCTGTTCCTGTGCTCTCACCTCTCGGACAAGGAAGCCCTCCTGCATGCATCGAGGATCTATGGCCCGAAGAAGCTCCATTGTCTCATACAGGCCCTGGCAGTTCTTCAGTTTCTCACGAGTTCCCAGCGTGTACCTCAGCAGCACCAAACCCACACGAAAGATAATTTTGACTCCTGAAGGAAAGAGAGGATAATTAAGGTGAGACAGCTTTGGAGTTAAGATATTTCAATATTCTGCTCTTCTAAATTACAGGTGCTGGTCATAAAATGAGAATATCATGAAAAAGTTGATTTATTTCAGTAATTCTATTCAAAAAGTGAAACTTGTATATTATATTCATTCATTACACACAGACTGATATATTTCAAATGTTTATTTCTTTTTATGTTGATGATTATAACTAACAACTAATGTAAACCCCAAATTCAGCATCTCAGAAAATTAGAATATTTTGAAACGGTTCAATATTTAAGACACTTGGTGTCACACTCTAATTAGACCATTTAAAGGCCTTTGCAGGTGTTTTGAGATAATTAGCTTTCAGTCTAGTTCTGTAGGCTTCACAATCATGGAGAAGACTGCTGACTTGACATTTGTCCAAAAGACGACCATTGACCCCTTGCACAAGGAGGGCAAGACACAAAAGGTCATTGCTAAAGAGGCTGGCTGTTCACAGAGCTCTGTGTCCAAGCACATTAATAAAGAGGTGAAGGGAAGGAAAACATGTGGTAGAAAAAAGTGAACAAGCAATAGAGATAACTGCACCCTGGAGAGGATTGTGAAACAAAACCCATTCAAAATTGTGGGGGAGATTCACAAAGAGTGGACTGCAGCTGGAGTCAGTGCTTCAAGAACCACCACGCTCAGATGTATGCAAGACATGTGTTTCAGTTGTCGCATTCCTTGTGTCAAGCCACTCTTGAACGAGAGACAGTATCAGAAGCGTCTCACTTGGGACTGCTGCCGAGTGGTCCAAAGTTATGTTCTGATTAAAGTAAATTTAGCATTTCCTTTGGAAATCAAGGTCCCAGAGTCTGAAGGAAGAGAGGAGAGGCACAGAATACATGTTGCTTCAGGTCCAGTGTCAAGTTTTCACAGTCAGTGATGGTTTGGGGTGCCATGTCATCTGCTGGTGTTGATCCACTGTGTTTTCTGAGGTCCAAGATCAACGCAGCTGTCTACCAGGAAGTTTTAGAGACTTCATGCTTCCTGCTGCTGACCAACTTTATGGAGATGCAAATTTCATTTTCCAACAGGACTTGGCACCTGCACACATGCCAAAGCTACCAGTACCTGGTTTAATGACCATGGTATCCCTGTTCTTAATTGGCCAGCAAACTCACCTGACCTTAACCCCAAAGAAAATCTATGGAGTATTGTGAAGAGGAAGATGTGATACACCAGACCCAACAATTCAGAAGAGCTGAAGGCCACTATCAGAGCAACCTGAGCTCTCACAACACCTGAGCAGAGTCACAGACTGATCGACTCCATGACACGCTGCATTACTGCAGTAATCCAGGAAAAAGGAGCAACAACTAAATATTGATGCTGCACATGTTCATACACTTCATGTTCATACTTTTCAGTTGACCAACATTTCTAAAAATCTTTTTTTTTTAAACTGGTCTTAAATAATATTCTAATTTTCTGAGATACTGAATTTGGGGTTTTCATTAGTTGTCAGTTATGATCATCAACATTAAAACAAATAAACATTTGAAATATGTCAGTCTGTGTGTAATGAATGAATATAATATACAAGTTTCACTTTTTGAATGGAATTACTGAAATAAATCAACTTTTTCATGATATTCTAATTTTATGACCTGAGCCAGTGTAAGTGTGGCCTGGTTTGCTGCCATTACCGTCGCAGAGGAACATGTCCCAGACACGCAGCACAGAGGCCCAAGGCAGAGTTCTGGAGAAGGCACACATAAACCATTCAGTCATGTAGAGGATGGGGTCGATCTTGTGTTTCTCTAGATGCCGGAAGGCTGGCGGGGAGACGCGTCGCAGCAGAGCAAACAGAATCTCTCCGTCTAACTGTATAGCTTCCTGTAAAAGACACAGGTAGGAATGCATCAGTAGAAACGAAAACAAGTGCACCCTCTGTTTTCAGGGCCAAAACCTGATACACATTCTTTCATTGTGAAACTATAACCACAACAATCCTATGCTGTTGAAGCTTGTCTATGTGAACTTAAGATTTTTTTTCTAGTAGCATGCACAATCACATTACTGAGTCTTACCAGGCCAGGACTGTAGTAACCAGGAAGATACTTCTCACAGATCTGGACCAACCCCCAGAAAGCATCCTACAGAAACCAATGAAGATGTGAGGCAAGGCACAGCTCCTTTTAATTAACTTGGAACTTTAATTAAACTGAATACGCTCAATCTCAAAGTTTATGACAGGACAATTAGAAAACACTGAACAAGTATGGCAAGTCTGAAAGGATTGACAAAACTCTTGACTAAAAAGAGCGGCGGCAGCACGACTTGCGTTTATAAACTTACATATGACCGAACCACAAGACTTCTGGAGCAAGAGATTTTGGTGAGACAAGATCAAAGTAGTGAGGTTTGACTTAAATGAACAGCATCACGTTTAGGAGGAACCAAACACAGCTCATCATCGCAAGCATCAACTCAGAGCAACTCTCAAACACAGTGGTGGAGAGCTGATGATCTGGGCTTGCTTCACAGCCCGTTTGGGGCCTGAATAACTTTCAATCACTGTCATGCATAAACTCAACTAAACAAACAAGATAACCAACTACAACAACTAAAAAATACTGCACATGCCATGGCCTAAAATGTAGTTTTGCAAGCCGTACATATATATATAAAAAAAAATTGGTCGTCATTTCAAAAAATTGCCCAATCATAACGCAGCTGTCAACTTGTCACACATACGAAAACGTCCTCTTTTTTATTTGTTAATTTTTTTCTCACAGTTTTGGGGCACCAACTAGTCTCCAACAGCTGTGGCCCAGACAGATACACTGTACTACCTTCAGAGTCAATTTCATGTAACATCTGAAGCTTGACCCAAACTATGTCATGCAACAGAAGCACATTCAAAATAAAGAAATCATCTTCAAATCAAGATGGTGCAATGACACAAACTTTGATCGATTCAATTTGTGTGGTTAGGCCTTTAGTGAGCCGTGTGTAGTGGACCAAGGCCTACGTCGAAACCCAGTCTAAGGTCAAAACT